TCAATCCAGAAGATGACTTGTCATCTTATTCCCTGACTGTGGAGTTTTCTCAGCAGCCTTTGGTGAGCGACTGTGTTAAACACCTTCTGAAAATCCAAATAGACAGTACTGTATCCACTGGTTCACCTGCATCCACATGCCTGTTGACCTTTTTAAAGAATTCTAAAAGCTTTGTAAGGCAAGACCTACCCTTACAGAAGCCATGCTGATTTTCCCTCAGCAAGGCTTGTTCTTGTATGTTTTTTAAGATTTTATTTTGGATGAGACTTTCCACCATCTTCCCTGGAACAGACGTTAGGCTAACTGGCCTGTAGTTTCCTGGGTCCCCCTTCCTTCCCTTTTTAATGATTGGCGTGACATATGCTATCTTCCAGTCTTCTGGCACTGTGGCCATTTTAAGGGACAAGTTGCATGTTTTAGTTAAGAGGTCAACAACTTCATTCCTCAGTTCCTTAATAACCCTTGGGTGGATGCCATCTGGGCCTGGTGATTTATTTATCTTCAATTTATCAGTTAGGTCTAAAACATTCTCTCTCTCTCTCTCTCTCTCTCTCTCTCTCTCTCTCTCTCTCTCTCTGTGTGTGTGTGTGTGTGTGTGTGTGTGTACACACACACTTGTGGTTTTTTTGGTTTTAGATTTGGTTTTTGTTTAAATCCTGTTGCTGTCAGGGAAGTAATTTTTATCAAGATATGTCTTGATCTGCTAACTAAAGATGACTTTATGTTCTGATCATTTTTCATTTTAAAAAATGTTTATCCTTCTAATGTATGCTTTAAATTTGTTCAAATCATCTTTTACTTGTATTTGTGCCACATTATTTTTTGCTACTTTGAGTAAAATTTCTGATGGAAGGGTAGTGTATAAACTTGATACATTAAATAATCAAGAATTAAGTCTAATGTGGAAATAAAGTATTGGTTATTGACTTACAGCTACCAAAGTTGGGGAAATTATATGCTTTTTTCATGTTTGAGTAAGAGGAACTTGAAGTGAAAGGGTGGTTTAAATTATTTTTAAAAAAATATTTAACGGTAAGAAAAAAAATTATAATAGCTGAAACAGGTGTAGTATGTCTAAACATAATTATAATATTGCCAAAAAAGAGAGAGGAAAGGATAAAAAAGGGAGGAGGAGTAACAAGAAGAAAGAAAAACAAAACGCAACAATGTCTATACGTGGTCTTCTCTGAAAGGCTTCCAATGAAAATTACTTGGAGATCCAACATTCTATATGTGGAAGTTCAAGTGTGCACATACATGCATGTGCGCCCAAACACAAACATATATATGGCTGGGGGCATTTTTGAGAAGATTCTACAGTTGCACTGCTTTGCACAGATTTGCTTGTGCTGCTAATGCATTTTGAAAAAATATTTATTTATCAAGACAAAACTTTCTCATATCCCTTAGTAATATCCACTTGGAAAAACTTGTTACAGCTCACAGAAGCAAACTGAAATGTTTCAGAACATATGAATCTATGACCATGCAATTGCCTTTTGGTTCTTGTTTGATCAATGTTATTTTTGATCACTCTTTTTGTATCTTCTGTTTTTGCTGTCTCATCCTGTATCTTTACTTCTTTGAAATAATTCAAAGGTCAGATGTTCTAGAGCAGGGGCAAGAAACTTCCAGAAATCTGGGGTCCACACACATTCCCAGACCTGGAGGACCATACTTGTTCCCCCCCCCATAAAAAGTTTTTCTTAAAGTTCTATTTTCATAAAAAATTCAAATGGTGTGAGAAGGCTCATTATTTGCCTGTTCCTTGTCCTGCCAGAGTTCCCTTGCATAGACACATGTGGACAAACTTCTTGCTTCAACATATTAACATATACAGTATATTAATGGTTATTCAAATGCAACTTCAACAGCTTTTCTTAGGCCCCCGCCAATGAAGAAAGAAAAGTGTTCAATGACTTTATCTCAGTCCTGTTTCTTTTCTCCTCCACCACCCATGAGGCCAACTCTTCCTTTCACCTTAATCCTGAGATTTATTTAGTCTGTGGCAATGGTCACAACAGTGACAAGGGGTTTGTCTCCCACCTTTCATCCCCTGGTCTGTCCTCTTTCTGCAGTCTCCTGTCAGGGAGGAGATTCACCCCTGCATGAAATGTTCCATCGGTTACCCCCTTTGTTATTTCCTCCTCCTCCCAAAGCCCTCTCTTGCTCTTGTTTTCACCTTTCACTCCTCACTCCCCTCAGTATGATGGCTTCTTGAGTGGTCTCCTTTTTCTTCCCACCTCATCTCTAGGCACCATCAATTTCTCTCTTTTTAAGAGTTCTGTTTTGTTTTCCACTCCCATCCCTCAGAGAGTTCACATTCCTTTTTTCTTTCAATCCATCAGTCCTGCTTCTGCTTCCTCCACCTTTTCTCTTCCCCTTGTTTTTATTTCCTCCCTCCTTTTATTGCCCCTCTTCCTCTGTCTGGTGGGTTTTCCCCACCTCTTTTCTAAGCATGGGTTTTCCCAGCTTCCACAGGGTCCTTTCTCTCCCATTCTTTCCATGGAGTTGGTGGAATGGAAGTCCCTTGTTTTAACAGGAGGAGAGGAGAGCACACAGATGGGAGGTGTTTCCCCCTCATCTCCCTTCTCACATATGGGCATCATAAATGTGACAAGATTGCCCCTGGACAGCATAAAGGAAACTATTTCAACAAAATGTTTTTTAAAACTGGATCAGGTGCACTTGTGACCACGGACCATACATTGTTCACCTTTGCTCTGGAGAAGTAATTCATGGGATACACTGGGTTGGTGGTAGGTTTTTTTTTATCCTCTTTTTAATCCAAACAGTCCTGTGCTTATATAGAAATATTTTGTGTATGTATAGATCTCTCTAGATCCTGACCTATGCTGTTTCATATTGTTTGTTTTTACGTGCCTTTAGACATGAAGTATGTCATTGTTAATTCTCTAATTTAGTTTTACTTAATTAATTACAGAAACCAAAGCAACTTCAGTAAAATCATGTCCAGTGGTATGAACATTTTGTTAAAACATTTTATAGAAAGGTATCAGTAGCTAATGAAATGTTAAACCATATTTGCTCTGGTAAATAATTTTGACCATAAAGTGGAGCCAGTTTGTTCATCTCACGTGCTGTAGTAGAAGAAGAAAGAAACACTTGAGGTTGAAAGGTGGGGTTCCCATAAGTAATGGCATTGTTCTGGAACGATCCTTAACATAATAGATGATAGATGTCAACAATTTGAAGTCCCATTCAAGCTGTCTCCATCCTATAAGCAGACCTGAAACGAAATTAAAATGGATCTAGATAATCTGTTTCATCCAGCAACCTCTGGAACTGAGAGGCCACCACGTGCTTCCAAACCTTGCCCAAAAATGGAAATTTGAAGACTGGCCAATAGTTGTCCAATATGGTGGAATCCAGAAACCCTTTTTCCCTAAAGAGGCCTTACAACTTATAGTAACTATTGTAAGCAGATAGCATCTTTTGTATTTGCTCAGTATTAATATAGCAGGCAGCTATATCTTGAAAAATAAATTGTAAAAACAGTATGATGGACTCAAAGTGTGCATGTTTAGCCTTTGCTTACTTACACCGAGAAGGTAGGAAAGCATTTTGTGAGAAAATATGTTTTGGCTTAATCTCTGTTTAGATTCCTAAGTGAAATTTAAATTTTGAATTGCTTTCTCTATTTCGTGTGAATATTTTAAAGAATCTTGTTTCCATGCATAAATATTATCAGTTTCATAGCATAGCAATCCTTTTATGAAATAAGAAAACTATGAAAAAGCACCTTCACAGTCAGCAACTGTTATTTCATGTCTGCTTCTGTTGCTTCGGTGAACAAGTTCCAAATTCAAAGTGCTTCTGCATGCTCCACACAAAATAATAGGACATAGATGCCTCAGAATTTTGTGTAGAAACCTGCAAAGTGAGTTGCAGCATCTAACATACTAAGCCAGAGTTTTAAGGTCACCACTTCCGATAAGGTACTTTAGTTAAAAGTTTCTGGACCTAGATGCCCCAGTATCTCATCTTGAGTGAGTTTGCCAAGTTGGATGTGATGCCTCACTAGCTCTGTTAGGCATTATGCCAACTTGTCAAGCCAGTTGCTTCCCTTCTGAAAAGGAGTGAGATGAGAACAAGAGGACAGGTGGGGCGTCAGGGAGATAGAAAAACAAGGTGAGCAAAGATGCATTTTGGCTATCCTTGAAATAGACAGCTATATTGAGAATGTGCACCTAGCCATTTACTGGTCTAAGATAGGTGGCTCTGAGAAATGGAGAAGAACTAAGTATTTCTCCAGTTCACTACTGTATTTGTTGATGTGTGTTTCTGTTTATGTCTGTATGTGCATACAACCCTGTACATCTTGTGTATAAGATGTATACATTTTTTTCTCCCATGCAAGTATATTTGTAGTTTTCATTGCGAAGAAAGCAAGCTTTGATTATACGATTGATCTGTTACTGAGCTTCCTAAAATATTCTGTTATGTATAGTGTGTATATGTGTGCAAAAACACTGATGCTCCTGTTTTTCAGACAAGTATTACCAATGATAATGCTTGTGCTTGTTGAAACTGAATAACTTATTTCTACTAAATTTTATTTCAGAATTAAGTGAAATTGTATAAATACATTAGCTATCCTACTTGTTTTTGTGCCTTTTTTCATTATTATTTAAAATATTGGTTTCAAATAGCATTCAGTTTCACTTCTCTTTATCCAGGTTTGTTTAATATTAATTTTATTCTGATATATTTGCTTTGTTACCTGTGGAAAAACCAGAAGATCCTAGGTTCTTTAGCATTCCATCATTGCTGTGTTCTGCATTTACAGGGAATCCGTAGTAAAGCCTAGTAATCCTAGATTGCTGTAATCTGAAGGAGAGATTAGAGGCAAAATTCTGCTATTGGTTAGCTGTGGGGGGTTTTTTTAAAATAGAATGTGTTTATTTTTGCTTCTTTAAAAAAATCACTTTTATGTAAACATTGAACTTATAACATAGTATACTCTTTATTTGTATCAGAGCAAGGACAAGATTGCCTCCTACAGCAAAACTGCAAAAGTGGATAGGAGTGATGTGGGAAAGGAGATGAAAGAAAAGTCTTCCATGAAACGTAAACTTCAGTTTAATGTTAGTCCATCCAGAAATGAAGATCGAAATTCAGACACAGGTACAGCTTATTTTATTTTATTTTTCTATTAATATGTTTTTCAATATTTTGTTATAGCACCTGTTACAAAAGATGCAAAGTAATGATGAAATGATTGCCTACATCCAATTGTCAGTCAGAATCCAGAAATCTGATTATTGAGAACTTACAAAGATATGTTGAGCTGCACAGTTCTTATCTAGTCTTTACATCTGCTTTGTCACCAATATGTGTTATATTTAGCAGCAATATATTGTTGGCTGCTCATAATTCAAGCACTTATCTTTATTATCATGATAGTCATGTCATAAATGAATTATAGTAAGCAGTGTAAGAAAGAGAATAAAATTACTGAAAACTTTACAGATATTTTGATGTCAGATATCTTTATGTGAGCGTAGGGGGTCACATAATATTTCCAAATCCTGTTGTTTTGAATTACGTGTAAAGACATTATTACAACTCTCTACTGAATTCATTCAAATTTTAACAGCTGAGGTATCTCTTTTACAATTGAACAGTTAAAGAATATGTAGTGAATTACTGTGAGGGTTCTGTTTTAGGCTCTTCTTTCGGTTCAAAAAAATTCAGTAGATTTTTCTTGCTTCGAAACAGGTGAAAGATTTATTGGTGCATTTAATAGTAAACAAGTGTCTGTAACATGATCTTGAGGCTTTTCTCCTTCTGCCAATGGGGTTTCCAATCTTCAAACAGGACCAGGTTGCCATAACTATTGTTCCATGGTCCCAGTAAATCAACAAGGACCCAGTCTTTCACAGTCTGCCCCGTGGACCTTCCAGCAAGGGCACGGTCTCATCCTCCCAATTGACATTCCACAGGGTTCGTCCCTCGGGGCCTTGATCTTCCCTGTAATTTTTCTTCTCCATTCTAGCCTCTCTCTCCTTTCTCTCTCTACTCTTTCCTTCTCTTCCCTCAGCCTCCTCCACTCTCTCGCCCCAGCTTCTCCCCAATAAGCGGGTCTGGGGGGAATCTCCCTTCTTTTATAATCCACCTCCTCTTTAGGCACTCTAAGCCTCTCCCATAATCCTCTCCAGGGATCCTCCATCCACACCCATTCGCCGTCTGGCGGCAACTGACTTTCCTTCCTTTTTACTTCCCTTATTCCTGCCTCAGACTCCACCCTCTTCTTCCTTTCTTTCCCTGCCTTTTTCTCCTGGACCTCTCTCACTGTCACACCCTGCAAGTTCTCACTCTATTTCTTTCCCATGCTGAGCTTCTGCCACAGGTTCTGGTGTTGGCTGGGGACTCTCCTCTTTATTCTTGTTGTGGAGAAGGGACAGCTCTCCAGCGAGTGGAGCATCCCTCTTGCCTTCTGTCTCACAGTTACAAAAATGATGCAGGCTAACATCATTCTACTTTTTTGTTATAATTATTATTTTAAAAATCTGATAACAATTCTCCTTTGGATTTTGAGCCTGCCTGCCTGCCTCTCTCTGTCTCTCTCATTCACTCACTACCTAACTACCTACCTATTTGAATAGTCCACCCCACTAGTACAAGTACTATATTGGGTAGTTTACAAAAAATTAAAACTCACAAACCCCCAATATCCCACAATAACAAAACATCTATTTTTCTCTGTGAATTGATGAAGAGCCCTATTTAATTTTGAAAACCCCGTCAATGTAAAGGCTAGACCCTTGCCTGAAATAATTATTGTGAATTTCTGTGTTCATGCTAGTTTCGTGTCTTGAAAAAACACCAGCTTCTAAGCCAAAGCAATATGTAAAGCCATAGATTTACAAAATTATTCTGAAGGGCATCTTGATTTTTTGTGGACTAACTAGGAGTCCTGTTACCACCTATTTACTTGTATGTTAGGTTGGATCCAGTCCTTTGTGATACCAAAGACAAATGACATATGTTGCACAGCAGTATGGATATTAAAGACTATTGTTCTATGGGAATATAATTCTCTGTCAAAAAAATTACATCTAAATGGAGCAGCTAGCCATTTCTTTCCCTACCCTTTCCCATTGTTTCTTTAACACTAAGGTGTCAATGCAGGAAGAGAAGATTCACAAGTCAGCTCTGTCAAAAGACACAAGGACATTCAGCACTGGTTAGGCCTCCCCTTGAGTATTGTGTCCACTTCTGGACACCACACTTCAAGAAGGATGCTGACAAATTGGAACAAGTTCAGAGAGGGCTGGAAACCAAGCCCTGTGAGATTAGAATGAAATAATTTGGCATGTTTACCCTTGAGAAAAGAAGACAGAGGGGTGATATGATAACACTTTTCAAAGACTTGAAGGGCTGTCATACAGAAGAGGGGCAGGATCTGTTATCGGTCATTCTAGAGTCCAGGACACACAAGAATGGGCTCAAGTTACAGGAAGCCAGCTTTCAATTGAATATCAGGAAAAAAACCTCCTGTTACAGCAGTAAGACAGTGGAATCTCGAGAAGTGATGAATGCTCCAACACTGGAGGCATTCAAGAGAAACTTAGACAACCACCTTTGTATTCCTGCAGAGGGTTGGATTTAATGGCCTTATACGCCCCTTCCAACTTCACTATTTTCTGTGACATCCAGGAGAATTAATAGGATTGTCCTCTCTATTGGTTTCATCTCCCAGAAGAGCTCTTATATGTTGTTCCTAAGGAAGCCAAAATGATATTAGCTTCAAATCTGGTGTCAGCCCAGTTAATAAGATTCATGCAATTGTCATCTATCAGAAAAAACTGAAATTGAGGCAAAAATCTCAGCATTTCTTCAACATTTTTTTCATGTTGCACTATAGCCTAGTTAACATTTACAGAGCTTGATAGGACCCTGTGAGGATATTTTTTTATGTAGAGCTCCAAACAACGTCTGTCAGAAGCATCAGGCCATCTCCTTTGTTTAAATGGACTTTTCTATGTCAGTCATCCAGGTCTCAGTTTTTAGTTAGTCCACAAGAGCAGGAATCAAGAGTACAGGTGGTCAGTTGCACATGTCTCATTTTTAGGTTTCATGTGTGTTGTAAGATATTAATGGGCCACCTAACTGAGATGAGTTTGGGGGGGCAGGTTCTTTGAGTGTGCTCTAGTAGACATGTCCAATAAAATGTTGCTGGGACACTGCAGTTCATAAATGTTGATGTCCAGAGTGCCACAAAATCTCCTTACATCTCCAGCACTGTTTCAACATATATGTGAAATTGCTAGAGACTTAATCCAAGATTTGAATAGAATACACCTCATGACCAGAGCACTGGCAGAACCCAAAGGTATTGTGAGTGTATTTCATGCCTTATTTTCATCTTCTGCCTTTGGACAGATAGTTTAAAAAATGATTGGCTGTCTGGCAGGAGGTTTTTAATGGATGAAGGGGATAAAGTGAAGCTTAATTCAGTCAACAGTGAGATTCTGCTAGGCCTGGATTTTGGTGATCTGGAACCCCGCTTTTGAGAGAGATGGAGCAGCCAGGCCGATAACAACAGAATGGGCCACTGCTATAATAAATGGGTCTTTCCTTGAGGGCAGGTTTCCCTCTGCCCTCAAGGAGACACTCATTAGGCCCATAAGAAAGAAACCTAGTTTGGCGGCGGACGAAATTGGCAATTATAGGCCTGTTGCCAATGTTTCTTTCATGAGCAAAGTGGTCGAGAGGGTGGTGGCTGACCAGCTTCAAGCACATTTGGATGAAACAGATGCCCTGGATCCATTTCAGTCGGGCTTCAGGCCGCACCACAGTACAGAGACAGCATTGGTCACCCTGTATGATGACTTGTTGAGGGAGGCCGACAGAGGTAAAATATCTGTGTTGGTCCTCCTCAACATCTCGGCAGCCTTCGATACCATCAACCACGGTATCCTCCTGGGGAGGCTCTCCGAGTTGGGTATCGGTGGCTTGGCTCTGGCCTGGTTCCGCTCCTTCTTGGAGGACCGAGAGTTCAGCTTGGGGAGAGTGTCTCGACCCCATGGAGCCTCAAATGTGGGGTTCCACAGGGGTCAGCTATCTCCCCAATGCTGTTTAACATCTATATGAGGCCATTGGGTGGGGTCATCAGGGGGTTGGGTGGGTGCCCCTGTGGCTGGGGTGTGGAGCATCGTGTCATCAATACGCTGATGACACCCAGCTCTACATCTCCTTTTCACCAACTGCAGGTGATGCCGTCCTGTCCCTCCAGCGCTGCCTGGAGACCGTACTGCAATGGATGCTGGAGAATGAGTTGAGGCTGAACCCGGACAAGACGGACGTTCTGAGGGTGGGTGCCCCTGTGGCTGGTGGCTTGGGTGACTCTCGTTTGGGGGGGTGACCCTGGCTGTGAAGAGTGGGGTCCGCAGCCTGGGGGTACACCTGGACCTGACGCTCATCATGGAAACACAGGTGGCGTCGGTAGTCTGCTCCGCCTTTTTCCACCTTTGGCGGATTGCCCGGCTGCGACCTTACCTAGACACGGGGGCGCTCACTACCTTAGTACATGCACTTGTAATCTCTAGATTAGACTACTGTAACGTGCTCTACGTGGGGCTCCCTTTGAAGCTGATGCGGAAACTTCAGGTGGTGCAGAATGCAGCGGCCAGACTCCTTACTGGAGTGAGACAATACCAACATATCTCTCCTACTCTGGTCATGCTGCACTGGCTGCCCATCCGTTTCCGCGTTGACTTCAAAGTGTTAATGCTTAC